TCTCTCTCTCTCTCTCTCTCTCTCTCTCTCTCTCTCTCTCTCTCTCTTTCCTCTCTAGGTATATGGCGCACATACAGAAAAAAACGGTCGATAAAGTGGGTTTAGAAGGGCCGGGCTTAGTGTTTATAGTGTATCCAGAAGCGATAGCAATGATGAGTGGCTCGGTGTTTTGGTCCATAATATTTTTTCTGATGTTAATTACGCTCGGAATAGACAGTACATTTGGCGGCCTTGAAGCGATGATAACAGCCTTATGCGATGAATATCCACGATTTCTTGGACGCCGTCGAGAATTATTCGTGCTAGTTTTGTTGATTGGTATTTATCTATGTGCTTTGCCAACGACAACATATGTGAGTATATTTCATTCGATATATATGTGGATGTGGTTGCCTTTTTTGCACGCGTGCAGCGTTTTCGCACATCAATTTGATTGTGATTCTTATGCTGTAACCGCATTGGGCATTCCCTTCCTCTTTTTCGTCTGTGTTAAATGCGTACGCCTTAAGCAAATCAAATAAACATGACACACTAATGGACAATGGCAAATAGTTTACCAGTTTGCGCACAAACGGCAAATAGTAACGAAAATTAAAATTGATTCATTCGCGAGAATGTACGAGAAGATGAAGCAGCAGCAGCAGCAGCAGCAACTAAAATTAAATGCTTATCCGTGTATAGACCGAAGCAAGTTGGGTGTTGATGACGGAGACAGAGACAGGGAGTGGAAGAGCGAATAAGTAAAATGTGTTTGCATGAAACGTTGAAAGGACGTGCACGCCGACCGTCGGCCATTGTCATCAATGTTGAGTGAATGCGAAGTGTTGTGACACAGTCAATATCGCTGCTGATTTTCGATTTGATAAGATTGTTTACATGTGTCTTTTGGCATAGCGCAAACATATTGACCCATTGCCAGCGACTAAAACCAATGGTTAGATACAACACATGTGGTTGAATCATGGAAATTTGGTCAATCGGTTTGATTTATCAACGCGAAATTAATTTTAGATTGATTTTGAATTTTCAGTCCAACTCAATAGCCAACATTCTCACATCGATGACATTTATTTACAATTAAACGATTTGAATTGACAAAGCTTGGCAACATTAAGTTGATTTTGATGCATTCACCGTCAACTGCATTTCCATTTGAGTGAGTTGTTTGTTTGATGATTTCATGCTCGGCGTTTGATGTGTGCGCTCCATCAGATAAATTGAAACGCAGAACACACACACACCACCCGTTTACTGTCAAATTTTGAACAATTGTAGAGCGCCGTGGATTTTGTACGGCAAAATTCAGTACTAATTGGTGTGATTTCGTGGTATTTCACAAAATGTCGAAATCACTTACGGCTATTTACAGCTCAATTAGTACTGAATTTTGCCGCACGAAATCCACGGCGCCTTACAATTTCAGTATACAATCAATGCGAGATTATAAGCGTGTGGAAAAAAAAGTCTGTGTGTAAAGTTTGAGTCGGTCGCTTGATGGTTTTCTTGTTTTTCTATTCAGTATTTAATGTCAAACGAGCAAACGGACCCATTATCAAGTTGCCGCCGTAAATGATTCGAACGCAAGGTAGCGCGCGTGCACACATATATAAATCGGCGCTCATTTTCATCATGTCATCGAATGTGTGATTTCATGAATTAGATATTCCATTTTACTTAACCTTAAGTTGACTTAAGCATTGTGTAAATCCATTTTCATCACAGAGCGCACCCCCTCCCAATCAATTATCCAATGTATCAACAAATGCCAATATGATGGTTTAACCTAAACAAACTAATTGTTAATATGATGACGAAAATCAATTTCCTTTTTTTTTTCTCTGTTCATTTTCGCTCTCTCTCTCTCTCTCACTCTCTCCCTCGTTTGTACACATTGCCCATTTTCCGCACCAAATGGACTTTAATCGAAATGCGACTTTTTGTTATTGTTATCACATTGAGCATTTATTTTGACCGACAGCACCAATATTTACGCATTTTCGAATGAATATGCACGACCCAAACGTACACATAGTGGTGGCAGGCTAGAGAGTTTTACCTGGAAAACAGGCGTGGAAATTTGAGGAAAAAAAGAAGAAAAAGAAAAAAGTTGAAAATACACTATACCAACCTTCCCCTGTGTGAAACATTCATACATTATTCATACCAATCCGATAAATGAGTGTATTGTTCATGCTTGTTTTTATCATTGCAAACAACCCATTTGCACACATTTTTTCTTTCTTTCTTTCTTTCTTTCGTTTGCTCACAACGCTACGATTGTCGCTGTAGCCCGCCACATACGCTTCACTTCCTTATCTCTGCCGGTGGACTTTTCCACGCACACGACTCGATTAATTCACATAATCGTAATTATTCGAGTGATTTATCTCCTCATCCATATTGATGACACCATAAATGTTATCGAGTGTGATTTTCTATCGACATCATTCATGCAAATGAAATGGCCATGTGATGTTGATTACATTTCTCTAATGAGCTCTTGTGCTCCGAAAAGTTTTCATCGAAAATGAACTTCTTTGGGGTGGCACAATTCACGAAAAAAAAAAAAAAAAGGATTCAAATCAAAATCATTGAATTCAAAAGCGAAAAAAAGATTCTAATCATTCAACTAGAATCGATTTTTCATGTAACTTTTATCTTCGATTTAATGTCTAATGAAAAAAAAAACGGTGTTCACTTCTGAAATTGATTGAAAACGGCCCAAAATTCGAATCGAAGTGTTTTTGTTCGAGCTTCAGCAGCTGAACAAAAAGTGAAACAAAAGAAAACAAAGAGACTTTGTGCAAGATATGGCCATTTAATATAAATTGCCTTTACCCTCAGCATATCGTTGTACTGCTTGCTGCTTGGAATTTCAAATGTAATTTACGGAGAGTGGTGTGGATAGTGTTTGATCATCGGATTGCTTGTCTTCATGCACATTTACATACTTCAAGCGATTGTTGCTGCCATCGCCACCGTCACCACAGCCATTGTTTCATTCACTCCTCACAAGAAGAAATGCACGATTTTATGTAGCTCTCTCTCTCTCTCTCTCTCTCTCTCTCTCTCTCTCTGTTAGCTCAGCCGCAAGAAAAAAACAAGTCGACACAAACGAGTGTTTGTTGTCAACAGTGGAATCACTTGTTAAAACCACTAACAAATACGTTCATGCTTCGGTGGTTTTCCTTCACACACATTTTTTTCTTCTTCTTCGTTTTACTGTGGGTTCGCGTTTGCATGATGAAAACTATGCCATTATTTGGCTTTCGGAATCGCGTGTCTCTTATCACAGAAGCTTATATAGATTTGTGCGTTGGGCTGACTACAATATTGATTTATAAAAAAAAAACGCCACTAAAAGCTTGGCCAAATGACCTACGGCAATTTGATGGGTTTTGGAAAATGGAACATTGCACTTGATTCTGTCCCATATCTGTTATAGTTTCTCGGAAAAATTGAGCAACGTACGTCGAGAGGCACAGAAAATTCTGCACTTTCATCGTCGAATCGACATTCGGGCGCACCTCCATTGACTTAAGCAAATAGACTGAACTACATTTTGTATTGAATTCCACAGGTGCTTGCGAAACGGAAAGAAGAAAGAGAGAAAAAAGAAACAAATGTCTTTCTATCGAAGAAAATGAATTTTTCGCGCTGAAATTAGAATTAAACAAATACATTTTTGTACCGGAATTTATTTATTCGTTTCAGGGTGGTGTTTACTTGGTCAATTTCTTGAATGTGTACGGACCTGGTTTGGCCATACTGTTCGTAGTGTTTGTTGAAGCGGCCGGTGTATTTTGGTTTTATGGCGTCGATAACTTTTCCAACGATGTCGAATCGATGCTTGGCCAGCGGCCAGGCATTTTCTGGCGTGTGTGCTGGAAATATATCAGTCCGGTATTTTTGCTAGTGATTTTCATTTTCTCATTGCTCGGCTACGAAGATATGCTGGGAGAAGAGTACGAATATCCCGATTGGAGCATAGCGCTCGGCTGGGCTCTAACATTGTCATCGATTCTCTGTATACCAACCTATATTATATACAAAATCCTTATCACTCCGGGAACCATACAAAAGGTGAGCGAATGAAACATTTGGTTTTGTTTATTTTCATTTTTATCAAATGAATTCATTCCATTGGTGAAATTGTTCGATCGATGCACTATTTCATTTCAAACCCCATTTTTTGCCCAACAATTAGCCACCTTTATTCTAATACATAAATGCATTGTTTTTTTTTTCACAGCGATTAACGACCTCATTCAAGCCAGAGGATAACGAACAGCCTACTGCAATTCCCGGGCAGATTTTGTGCGGCGGAACTGCGGTGTGACATTACAATCGTGTTATGAAAACTTCGCTAGCAAACGAAACGGATTCAATATGCAAATTGAGTAAAAATCTGAGCCAAATTTCACCAACAACATCGACCATTGTCAAAGCCAACGTGGACCATAGCCAATGCAGTAGACATCCATATGATAAGCAAATATCCACGAAATTAAATGCAACGAGAATCCATCTCGATTATCCATTATGTAGTAATTTATTGAATGATCATTTATTCCATGCCGATTTTTTGCCATGTAGTCTTGGTCCATACACTATAAATACCGAGTGGCTAGTTTAAATAATTGGAAAACATTTCGCCAATTGAGAAACTGTGTGTTTCGTTTTTGAATTGTTGTTTTTGTTCGTTGATTTTATTGTGCGTAAGCTAAGCACTAGTTAAGTTGTAAGCTAAAAGTTGTAAAATTAGAAAATCCCATCTAACATATATATACCGTATTTTCTAGCCTTAGATGTAGTAAATAAAAAAAAAAAACAGACAATTGAATGTTTCTTCGTGCGCTGATTAGTGATTGAATTAGTTTGGCGTAAGCAATGCAAAATCGAAACCACTATTAAAGTAGCTGACAAACCAAGAAAAAAGAAGTATAACTTAGGCTTACCAAATGAATAATAGACTTTAAATGCGTGTTGACCAATTATATGAGTAGTTTAGAGCGAAAATGTAATACAGAAAAGTTGCGCGGAAAAATGTCGATGATGAATGAGAGAAAAAGGGATAGCTATATAGTATGCTGTATAGTAAACTATAGTGAACTATATAGCTATCTCTTTTCATTTGACGTTTTTCCGCGCAACATTTCTGCATTACATTTTCGCTCCGAACTATTCATATTATAGTCCCGAAAGGGCACAACGAATGGTGTTTCAAGTGGTCCACAGCCATGGCCTCTATGAAAAACTTATTCCCTACTTTCGTCTGTAATTAAGAGAGGGGAACCAACTATCCGTTTTTTTTTTCGTTTCTAATTTGTCTTCGTGTCATCTTTATTGTCGCAAAATATGTGTGAAAAAAGAAAGAAAGAAAAGCCATAGTTATTGAAACAAACCAACCATATTTGATGCTAGTCGTTATTTTTAGCACTACATGGAATGTAGGCTACTGTAGTGATTTTTTTTCCCGAAAATTTTTTTAAGACTCTTAAGGCCATTTTTTTTGGACCGTAAACTAATTCATTTTAATATCCATATTTTTTATTTCAAATGAAACAATTACGCCTAATTGCAAAAATGAAATAATATTATGTTCACGTAATTCAATTTTGAGATAACTAAAAAAAAAAAAAAATTACACTTTTTTCGTTGCCAATGTGAAATAATGTACGATGACCATTCACATTGAATGTGCAATGTACATTGTACATAAGTCAAGAATACAATATCATCACATGAATTTATTTAATTTTTTTTTGACAATATTAAAATGATTTATAACTAAAACTTGTGAAACAAACATTTCCAACGATTAAAACTACATTCCATGTAGCGCTTACGATAATAATTTGATGAAAAACATCAAATTATTTAAACCCCTTAAATTTTCAAGCTTCAAGAACGCAGAGCGGAGCGAAGCGACGATCTGCGGTCTTGTTTTTTCTGCTTGTAGAAACGATTGAATGCTAGATCATTGTTGTCAATCGCATACAGGCCAGATCATGTTGATTGTCGCATTGATTTGATTGAGAGCCGGTGACAATTTACAATAAAATATTTATATATTTACATACGTTAGGGGTTTATATCGACGAAAAGAGCAGCCATTTTTCGCCGATATAAGCACACAATCACAAGCCATGCAGCTTCCCCCTTTTGAATGTTTAAGCCATTTTTTTTTATTGTTAATCGTTTTTTACCTGACAAAAAGAAATGAGACAAGAAAAAACACACAAAACATTCGTTACACTAAATAGGCTATTTTGATAGCTAAATTTAAATGTGCAAAAAAACGGTATTTAGAGAGAGAGACATTACTTTGGCAATATTGTAGCCAACATTTCTTATTCATAAACTAAATGTTTTAGTAACCCGTTTAAACACACAGCCAACACCATGAATTGTTACCATGAACATAAAATATTATTATTCGTTAGATGTAAATTTTGACAAAAAAGCCATTTTCCATAAAATCATCATATGTTCCATCTTTTGAATCTTTAGACAACGAATCATGTTTCATATTGTTAGTCTTTTTTTTCTCATAATTTTTAATCAGTGTTTTATTTTCTTCTTCAAATAGTTTATTTAAAAATTTAACTCAGTTGAATCATTTGTTTTGGTGTCAAATAGACCTGCAGCACAATTGTCAAAATGTTCTGTGATTAAGCTATAGTTGCGGAAAAAACAACATAATTTCCAGAGGTGTCTTTGTCAAAACTATAGTGTTTATGAATCGATTTATCAATTAATTTTGACCAATTTCCGATAGAAATCATGATTTATTCTTTATTTCCCTGAAGTCTTTACTAGAAAAAAATTGACAAATCTCTATTTTTATTCTTTATTGATTAGTGTTGTTCAAAATTTTTGATTTGATTTGGTTAAATTAATTGATAAAAACCTGCCATAATGATTTAATGTAATTTTAAGTTTTTGCTATTATATTGTTCGAATATTTCAACAGGGATTGAACACGCATTCATTATTATCATCACTTGCTACTATTTGAAAGTATTCTTTTTTAGACTATAATCACAAAAGAGCAGTCTATTGATTCATTCGAAAATAATTGTCTATAAGTTTCAATCAAAATTCAAAGTCAATGGAATATTCGGAATTGTGCAAAATATTGAATTGAAATAATCAAAATTCCAATTTTCGTTAATCTGTTAAGAAGAGAATTGTTTCATTTTATTCCCCAATTGAAAACCCTTACATTTTGAGCCATACTCTCACATAGTCTAAGTTTAATTCCAAAAGACACAAAATGTGCTGATTGTTGTAAAATAGATTATATCTAAATGTATTCATCCAAGTTTCGAACAAACCAACCAGAAAACAGACGATAAACAAAAACCGCCTGTAAATTTTTGAATTGAACCAATTTAACAATGTTTTCCCTTAAATGATACATTTTAAGTGCAATCCTATTATAATTTGTAAAAACTCAAAATGAAAAAGGCAATGTGATATCAAACCAGCCATTTTGATAGAGCATTTCCAATCAAATAAAATCAACTTACAACTTATGATTGTTATTATTATGTTCTGCACCCATTTCTTCCTGTCCAAAATGGTTAATTTGGAAATGAAAAAAATAACATTGGTGTTTTGAAGAATTTCGTTGAAAAAAAAACAAGAAAGGGTCGACCAAAAGTCGTTTTTCTTTTGCAAAGCTTCTGTGACATGGAGCTTATGTGTTTGATTGTTATTGGGTTCGTTCATAGAGGGCTTAGCGTGTACACGGCCAACTGTCATAACAATCGTATTGTTTTAATGTGTTTACTTCCATGACATTTCGCTGTGTACTTTGGCACGAAGGCGGTTTTACCTATCAAGATCTTTGTGGTCTCGTTTCAATTTCCTTCGTTGTTGTTCATTCGTTTCCAAAACACTTGATCATTGATTTATTACACGCTCATTTGACGTTATTAAACTCTCGTTTGATCGGAACGTTGAGTTATGCCAATAAATTTCGAAGGTGACACAATAAATAGTGGTTCGATCGAAAGAAAAAGTCAATGTGCTAGAACGTTATCATCGAGTCGATAACAGACATCAAGTAATTTTGTGGCATTCAGTGAATTTATCGACGAGCAATTAACCGAAAATCAAGTGACGCAAAATCACAACATCTCCTGCATTTGAATTAACCAGCAAAGGGTAAGTTGGATTCTGATACACTAGACTAAGAGCGACTATGATCTTGCATAAATTCATTATTAGAGAGTAATAGCTTCGAAACAGTTGATTTACTTTCAAAGTTGACATTTTTTCTCGTTATTTTGATGCAAACGTCGTTTTATCGCGGAAAAATTTATGCACTTCAATCATATCAATGGAATTTGTTTTCGAAGCACTTTCAAAAAATGAGTGAGAAACAAATTTCTCAATGGTTCAATGAAAATACGCCAAATTTGGCATATACGATCGATGAGATTTTTTGAACATGGTGGAGAAATTTATAGTGAAATTATTGTTCGATCAGTGTACAAAAGGAATTTGGGTCGCCAAAAATTTGTATTCTCGCTCATTGTTCCATAGATTTATTGGTACATTTTAATCTTTTGCTTGTATTTCTGTGCTTATCTGTGATAAAATGAGTGATGGTCTATTTTAGCGAAACAAAAATAAAGGTGTATCGTTCTCTTCCTTCGACATTTTTCAAAATATCAAGAAAAAAAAGTTATTTTCCTTGAAAATTTTGAGAATTGAAATCAATTGAAACATTTATTGCATTGACTTCAGTTCGATTCACATAAGATTTAATTGGATTTTTCGCTAAATTACATGACAAAATTCTCTGTAAAAATAATTTTCATTGAAACATTCATTTGAGTTGACATTTTGTTATAGAAATGTCACAAAAAATTGGAATTGGTGTCATAAGCCAAAAACAAAAGGCAATTTAAGTTTGAAAGTAATAACATATAACCAATTGTAAACGGATATAATTTATCAACTAAACCACTGATAAAAAAGGTACTCCAACCAGATTGTCATAAAGCCACAAGTAGAAGTTGCTTTAGTATCAATAGTCAAATATAAGTTAAAATATTCCGTGAGTCACGCGCAAATTCACGTCATCTCTCTCGCACATAGATGTCGTTAGTTCTGAGCGGAGTCGATTGTTAATTTCGATTCTGTTTTGAATTGCCGTGTGTTGTTGTTTTGTATTACGTTCATTGTGCGATAAAATAGCCGGCGTCTGACGAGTTACGAGCTTACAAACACACATATGTATATACATACATCATACCGCACACAAGTTATGGTATGCAAGCCCAAGCGTGCATATATCAAGTGAAATGTATTTGACGCTGGCTATATGCGCCGTGTGATTGCAATTTGATTTGTATGCCAAGGATAAAATTTATAAGATTTTAAATCTCGATGATTGACGGTTTTGTATGATGTCGATTCATCGGGATTCTTTCGTTGGCTGCTGCTAGTGCCTAGTATCATCAATACCAGCAACAAAACTATCATGTTCGATTAGAATAAATCTGTAAACAATCGAAATGAAATGCGATCTGTGTGAATGCATGCCAAATATAAAATAGCTGTTTATTTCATCAACACGCAGCTCAATTGAGCACGTTTACGTGCTCATGTTATCATTATGTATGCTTTTTTTTCTCTGCTGTTACCGTTGCCGTTGTTGTTGTTGATAGTTTTTTTTTTCTTCTCTGTTTATTTTTCGTATCGTATCGGCTACATGATTTCATTGACATCGATTTCTTTATTGTGCCTTTGAATGAAAAATATGAAATCGTGTATGCATTTGATGTTTTAATATAGTCGTTTCGTTTCGGTGTTGTTGTTTTCGCTTCGTTTTTTTTTTTTGGCTAAGTATTCAGTTGAATTTTACTGTCGACCCCCATTTTTATTTCTCTACTTCATGTACTCGATCAAAAGTCGTGAGTCGATTTTTTACACCAGTTTTTTTTTTTTACTCTCGTTTCGTTGTTATTATTTTGCCCGTTTTCGACAGCTATAACGTGGGAATTGCGGCGATGTATTCAATTAAATGACAAAAGAAAAAGAACCGACCACCACAATGATCGTCACTTTCGTTTGTGAACATCGATCTCATCATCTGCGTCAAAACAAAGTATTAACCGAATAAATTGAACATTCTTGCCAGATTAGATAGTTCCTTTCTGTACATTGTGGCAATGCATTCGACGCAATAGCGGCCGCGATGCCGCCTTTTAACCATACTATCTAATGCCAACTATGAGTTATCAACCACTGATTAAGGTTGAATTACAAAATGAACGAAATGGAAACAAACGAAAGGTGAGAGAGAGAGAGAGAGAGAGAGAGAGAGAGACGTTGAGGGAAAGTTTTTTTTCCGTCGCAATTAATATGATTCGGTTTTTGTTTGTTTCGTTTTTTTCGTTTGCCTCGCGTTTTCTAATAGAAAATCACATGAAATTACGAAAAATGCAGCAGCCACAGCAGCAGCAGCAACAAAAATCGTGGCACACTTGTGAATGCACATTTTCAAACATGTTCAATTCTCACCGCACTAGGCTCGCCCGCTTTTTTTTCGCTCTCTCTCCCTCTCTGTGCAATTTAATGAATGTGCACACACTCGTTTCTACATATACTGGTTGTGTTGTGAGAATATCATTTTTTTTTCAGCTATTACTATTAATGAAAACCACTTCTGAGCGGTGAGTGCACGCGAGCACGCAGCAGCACTGCTCTACAATGTTTGTAAATAAATGTGTGATAACGATCACCACAAGATTCGCTTTTTTATTCGTTCGTTTTACGTTTTTCACAGATGAAAATAGACGTCATAAATCGCGAGAGTGTGATTAATTTGAGACTTTTATAAAAAACGCGCTCATGAAATTCTCATACAACACACGTGTAAGACGTTAAGGTTTGCTTTGATTCTCTTTTTTTTGTGTGTGTCGCTCTCTTCAAATATTCGGCCGATTTGGGCCGTCGTCGACGTTTCTGTCCCGCACGCCCGGTTCCAATGACGACGAAAGAGTTGCACTCACGCGATATACGATATGTGTATATAAAACAAACACCGAGAGAGAGAGAGAGAGAGAGAGAGAGAAAGAGGGGCAGAGAGAAAAAAAACTGATTACGCCGCCAAAGTGGACACACGACGGTCGATTTACGCGCATTTTTCCCGAAGTGCGGCCGCGCGCGCACCGACCAACCGGTGCTACGTTGCCATCGATGTGGAATGTGCCATACAAAGTCACGCTCAAACGATCATTTTACATAGAGCATTTTTCCGTTTCTTCGGAAAGAACGAAAAACAAATTGTTTTGTCTTTGTTTAGAAAACGCCCATAAGTGCTTTTTTTTTTCTTTTCTTTTCGTTTCGTTGATATTCAACACATCACAGGCGACAAATCATCAATAAACCCGAGAATGGCACTTTTCGAAGAAATACGCTTGATAAACAGCATATTTTTTTTCGTTGATTAAGCAATGTAATCAACGGTTTTATCGAGAACATTCAACCGTTCCCAAGAAATGATCGCATTTTCAAATGTCCTATGAATTTTGATTTGTTTTTTTTTTGAAGAATTTTTTTTTCTTCAAATTCTTCATTAAGAATATTCTCTTTCTTTTTATTTAGACGAAGTTTATCACTAAATTGGCCTCTATTTCCATGGATTGCCCAATTTCGTTGGAAATTGCCTCATGTTCTTTATCAAACTACGACTGATTTTACACTATGTTTATTGCATACATTTGCCAATCCAAACTAGTTCGAATGGCGCAATTTAATACGTGTGTTGTTTCAACGCTCGAAAGAACTTTCTATGTTTTGAAATTGTTTTTTTTTTTCGTATTTCTTTTGTTGGCCTGCGAAAGCAATCTCTTTTCCCTCATTGTTTACGAACCGTTTTTTTTCGCTTATAATTTCGCGCGACCAGAATAAACAAAAAAAAAACGTTTTTTTTTTCATGGTATCATCATATTGAACGGGCCACATATGTGCTTTGTATATATGTGTAGTTCATTTATCTTTTAAAATTGCTTTATTCATTTCACTTTGCAAAATGTAAATGTTCCAAAAGCCACCGCTCTCAGACGAGAGAGTGCAAACAGGCTAACAGATGAAGAAGAAGAAGCATAAGCGAGTGAACGAACGAACGAATGAGCAAAATTCCAAGAAAGGCAATTCGAAATAATATGCGCTTCCATTTTATTAAACTCTTTACGACGGCCCAAAATCGATCGAACGTTTACAATTGTGGTTTTGTAAATGTGGAATAGTGAATGTAACAAGAATGTAAAAGGTTCTTGGTTCGGTTGGGTTGGCGTGTACAGTGTACACGCGCAAAAAAAAAAAGCCAGAGCAACAACAGCACCAGCACAAGAAGCGAATTGTTTCGGGCCAGTAAATCCATGGTCGAATCACGGTGAATTGTGTTTTGTTTGGACAAAAGTAAAAAAGCCAACAACTGAGTACAGAACGTAACAGAGAGGAAGAAAGGTGGGCAAAGTTCAAGTGAATCGTGTTTGAATGGAATGAGAGAGTCGAA